TTCATGATTATCATCATTGAGAAGTACAGAAGTTAATTGAAATCCATACTGATTCATACCATGAGTAGAGTCTATCATAATACAGCTGCTGTTTAATTCCAGCAACCTAAGTTGGGCACCATTCATAACCCCTAAAAGGAAATCATCCCTTGATACACCTTGAAAACCTGGCAGTTCGTCACCAACCAACTTTCTTGTACAACAAAATTGGACAACCAGATTCAGCTTTCATTTTCTGGACTTTTAAGTCCACCGATACTGCATCATTAGTGTCAAAAACAATTTCATTATTTACCTGAATACCTCTAGAAATATTTTGTAAATCTTTTAAGTGAGTAACACCAATTCTTTTTGTTGGTGAATAACTACTTTGAATGGACATTAAAATCTTTTCTTTTGGAATACCTTGCTGCATCATACCTGCTAATTTAGATTTTTCAGTTTTTGAGAGCGGCAATTTCCCAACTTCATGCCTATGACCAACATGCACTGATTGGTAACTAACTTTAATTTAAAAATATATCCCCGATCTCTTTCTCTGACACTTTTATTTCAGCAGGACATGTTTTCCCTATTTTAATTGAACCTCCACATTTCATGTGACGTATTCTGTCAGTTTTTATTTTACATGAACCACTTCTATTACATAAGAAATAACTACGAATTGTCCCATCTGCCAAACGTTTAGTCGTTCGTTTGGCAAAAAAGGACTGACTACTTTTTTCAACATCTTCTTTCCAATTTTCGAATTCAGATTTAGAATGAAAAATAAGTTCCTGAAAATTTAACCTTATATCTGTATGGACAGAATCTATGTGGTCATGCAACTCTTTCATAGAAGTAAACCTTTCATTACACAGAGTACAATCTCTTTCATTATAAGTTTCCAACTTATGTTCAGAATGAAAATTTCTTATGTGTCTATATAAATTACTTTTAACAGAAAATGAGCAGTCACAAGAAGCACAACAAAACCTAGAACTTATCGATGACATATTAGTATAAAATAATATTCTTAGTGTTATTAGTTTAACAACATAAGAACTCTGTATTTATCAGAAAAATACAAATGGCAATCTAAATAGGAACACTTGAAAAAACAGTAATATTTAGATGATTTTTAAATTGCATCAATACACAGAGTCATTATCATGGTGTGTATATATAAATATGCTGTAAATAGCAGCTGTATAACTTAGCGCATAATATTCATAACAAAAAACCAAAATTATTGTACGGAAATATATATCAATAATGCTGTATTTAAAATCAACCAAGCATAAGAAACAGCTTTGCAAAAAAAAAAAAAAAAAAAAAAAAAAAAAAAAAAAATACTTTTCAGTTTCTTCTGTACCTATGAAAAATAAAAATTGGTACTCGAAGTAAGTATTCCCAAACCAGAGTTTTTACATAGAAAAAAAGGTAATTAATGGAAATGTTTGTTACCCAAAAAGTAAAAAATCAAACTTTAATAACGCCCAGTAATTAATTAAGGATAAAAACAGTGCTGAATATATATGCCTTATTACTTCTGAAATAATAATCAAGTTAAGCACGATAATAAACAGAAAATTAACTTGCAAAATCTGAAAGGAAAACCTGAAAAGAATATTGTAAAATCTTAAATTAGCTCACAGATAAGCAAAAGATATAGTAAATAACTTGTAAATTTGAAAAAAATAATAACTTGTAAAATCTGAAAGGAAAACCTGAAAAAAAATTAACTTGTCAAACCTGAAAAAAATAACTCGTAAATTCTGAAAAGAATATTGTAAAATTTTAAATAACAGCTAAAAGAATAGTTGTAAAATATTAAATAAGAGCTACAAAAATAAGCAGAGCAAAAGTGCTTTACTTTCGAAGCGCACACCGCAACAGTCAAGAGCAAGAATGAATACCACACTCTCTGCCGGTTTCCCCTCGCCACGATGAACCTTCCACACCCGCTGTTTGAAGTGGACTTTACCAGGCGGCAAAGATCAGAAGGATCTGGTTGGGATTTGAGATTGTAGTAAAGCTTAACCAAAATGGAAGTAGAAGTTACATTACTTACATAAAAAAAACTGTCTATTTACTGCTGCCTAAAAATTTAGAAAATATTTTAATAGAAGGGATTTCTTCTCTCCGGATTACGTTTCAGCTCTTATATTTTAAAGTATATTAATAGTAGATAATAAAGTAAGTATAAAGAAAACCGAATTATACGTGGTACATACTCCTAGTTTAACAATTCAATTATCTGTCTCAAATCATAACGCTTCTCATTGTTTAAAGCTGAAATTACGTGGCTAGACATTACACAACTGTAACTGCGGCTCTATGGCGTGGCCTCGAATTACCCTGTCAGCTGTCACGGAGCCCTAATGTTAGACGTAAGTACGTAATTTCCGTCTATTTAGTTGCAAATTGTAAAATTTTTAACTCTTCGTATGTATTTCTGAGTATAATGATAACTGTACTTCTTTTTATGAAACTTAATCAGATTCCTTATGTGTTAGTAAGCTTAAGTATTGGTATAAATGCCCATCTTATTAGTTTTGCTTATCTCTTTAACCTTTCATTTTATCATTTTTCTGTGAGCTTTTAATTACTTAAATATACATGAATTATTGTAGATGTCATTTTATTAACATTTCCATTTAAGCAGAAGCTATACTTTGTGTTTCAATCTATTTAAATTTAATAGATATTTCACAGTTGTATTTTTTAAACGTTTTTACCGCCTGAATTTGAAAAGATTCCCTTTTTAACTTACCATCTTTCTTAATTAAAATTTCTGTGGCAGATGTTGCAGAAGTAGTAAAAATGTGCATTTATTTTTTATTTTATGAGTTATTTTATTAGAATGAAACATCTATTATTAATTTAGAACTTTTTGCAGTTTTCGTTATATATAGATTTAATATTTATGAATATATTTAAAAATTAATTTTATTTTATAAATTAATTGAATTAGTTATATATTTACTTATTTAACTAAATTTGTTTATTGAACAGTTTGAATTTGAACATCTATTTATTACTTGCTTGAAATCAGTTTGATAATTTTATTGATTTAGTATTTGATAGAAATATGATAATTGTTAGATTAATGTTAACTCTTCACAGAGCTCAAGTGAGGTGTATGTGGAAATTGTTTTGATTATTAGTAGATGTGCGTCGGGTGAAACATGACATCTCTTTTTCTAGTTTATAGACTCCTCATTACACCTCCTCTTTAAAGTTACATTAATTTTAGACCCCATTTGAATAGGATCAGTTAAGTTACTCTTAAATGATACAATTATTTGATTATTAGAATATTATGTAACTATTAGTTTCTTTTTTAAATTATTTTATGTTGATCTTCGTAATTTGAAGCCGATTTAAGTATTTATACTATAAACCTTTACGTATTTTTGTGTGGATCAGTAGTTTATTCTAAATTAGATTTTTATATTAATAAATGCATGATTCTTGTAGTCAATCATATATTTTAATTTTGAAGTTTGATTTAATAATTTCAGCTTTAAAGTCTGATCTAGAGGTATCTAAATAATGGCGGTGAATTCATATGGTGGAGGTGGCACAGATGAAGGTTATGCTCAACTGGACTTAAGTGGCAAGCTTATAATTAAAGCACAGTTAGGAGATGATATTAGACGAATTCCAATTCATAATGAAGACATCACATATGATGAACTTGTACTTATGATGCAAAGAGTGTTTAGGGGGAAATTAGATGCAAATGATGAAGTTTTGATCAAATATAGAGATGAAGGTAGGCTGTATTTTTTTTTATTAATTTTTAAGTTAACGTGTATGAAGTTATGTAATTGTATTTGGCAGTTTCCGATTATCTGCCATCTCTTCAAAAATCTGGCAACTTATAAGCAACTTTTTTTTTTTTTGGCAAGCTAATACAGGAAAAGCAGCAGCCATTTATGGCAGCATGCTAAGAATTCCATAAAAGAGCAATGAGTCAATAAATTAAAAAAAAAAGCAAGTAAAGTCCGTACTAAAAAGCTTACCATTTTGAAAAAATTCTTACATAATTTTTTTTTTTAAATAAGGTATTAGAGAAATGCGCTAATTTGGCATCCCACACAAATTTTAGTCCATAAAATTCAATCATTTAAGAAGCACAACTTCATAAAATGTGAATTTTTGCATTCTGTACTGTTGATGAAAATGTCATATTTCTGAAGAAATGCAATATTTCTGTTTTTGTCGTTCAGCAAATTTCATGGTCCCATTATGAGGAAAGAAAAAAGCACTCGATGAAAAAACACACACTAATGGGAAAAGTGATTGTCAAATTTGAAAGTGGAAATTCGCACTTGTAGGTGTCGGGTTTTTATACCTGTGTTGTCAATAAATACATTTTGGCAATGCTGCGAGTTGTCTATTTTAGAAGTATAGTACAAAGTCTGTAATCCGAATGTCCATTATCTGGAATGATCTATAATCCAGACCTCAAAGCCACAAACTTGTATTTTTTTGTATGCTTTATGCATGTGAGCTTAGTGTGAAAAACGAAGCAACTTACATTGAAAGAAATGTGTAAACAAATATTAAGTTTTTTTTTTGTAAATTTTGATAACCTTTAGATCATAATTGCTCTTTATTTCATAAATTAGGTTTCATATTTTTAATTGTATAATTTCTGCATGCCATCTTACAAGATTTAAATTGATAATCTATAAGCTGGAATCGCCGAAGTCCCAAAGTATACAGTACAAAGTCCGTAATCCGTACTCTGATTACGGACATTGTACTGTATATAGCATTGCCTTTTAAATATTTATCAGAACAATGCAGATAATTAGAAAGAATCTAATATCTTTTTATATAATTTTCTTTATTTTCAGAATTATATCTAGATTTTTATGAAAGAAATAAATTCAGTTTTAAAATGTTTTGTATATAAATTTGAAAAGGGTTTATAGTTTCTAAAAATATGTCGGTAAAAGTATATTTTAGGGTACCCCTAGGCGAAACTTGGCGATTTTTGGCGGTACATGAATACCGAGTTTGTGCAATTCTTTGACTTGTTATTTTGGCTTGTGTAGTGGCGATTTTTGAGTCAAAATTCGCCATTACACAAAGCCAAAATAATAAGAGAAAGAAATGCACAAACTCGGTATCCATGTACATATCGACCTATTTTCATTTTAAAAAAAAATCCCAGAATTGTGCACTCTCTTGGCTTTATCCATGTACACATCGACCTATTTTCACTTAAAATCGGAGAAATTCACAAAATAGGCTTTGCTCACTCCTTTGACTTTGTCCATGTACACTTCAAACTATGTTCACTTAAAAAGTCAAAGGAGCAGCCAATATATATATATATATATATATATAATTTGAATAAAAACTACATTTTAAATCAAAGAATGAAATAACGCAAAAAAGGAAATTCATCTTAGCACTACACGAAGGAAATATCCACTTACCTTATTTACGACTTTACGCGTCTTCAGTCAAACACAATTCCTTAACAGCATCCAAACACTTCCTAAAATTATCTGTATACTAACGTAGCCACATAAAGTCGCAAAAATAAGAATAAAAAATATCCGATGTTCGACCATACGCATTTTCTTCCTCCAAACAGGCCACTTAATAATGGCTACTAATTAAACCTTCATTTGCACCCCAGTCAATTAATGCTTTTTTTCCTTTCGTTCCAAATTCTACAGAAACTTCAAATTAATCTTACCACATTCAGCCAATTTATCGTGTAAACCACAAAATAACAACATACTAATCCATCACACACAAGCCCTTATCCAAAATCTGACACACACTTTCCAAATTTTTTCCCATAATTCAAATTCACCACAAGCAATTATGTCATAATAGGGTTTCCATAGCATTCAACTACTCGGGTTGTCATAAATGAGACAACAACTTGGCGATAAATGAAACAATTTTGCGATAATACAAGGGGTCAATTCTAACTAATATGTCAAATATATTTTCAAAAATTATTGGGTGGACTTCTGAGATATGAATATGCATGCACTTGTCTACGTTCTGCATTCAATAAGTGGGAAAGTTTTTCTATTTGTTATATATATATATATATATATATATATATATAATATATATATATATATATATATATAATTATATAGTTATATTTGTTATATATAATTGTATAAATTGTAGAGAAAAATCTCCACCTTCATTCCCTAAAATTTTTTGTATTTCCTGCTCTGATTTCATGATAATGGTATGTCACATGAGGCAGCATTTGAACTCAATTATAAACCTATAATCAGTATTGAGAGAAATATAGCATAGGTATTTTAGTGGTATCACATGAGTCATCTTGTATCATTTCAACCATTTATTATTAGCATATGAATTATGTGACTTGTTTAGGCTCATTATTCTTCTGTAAAATTTGAGTTGCATTTATGCAGTGACAACTTATTGTTTTGTATTAATAAAGTAATAAACTTAGTGAGCATGAAATAGATTTTAAAATTTAGCACTAAGAAATTTTCAGTTTATTCCTACATTTTTCAATATGTAGGATTGGGATAAAATTTACAGGTTTTGTGCTTTGAAATTTGTTTTAAGTCAATTGAATCTGGGAAATAAATCTTGTTAAAGATGCTTACTTTTGAGACGCTTGCGTATTATCCAGGCATCCATGAAAGGTGATTACCATCAAATCCTGAAAGTTGGAGATCCCACTAGATTTGTGCCCTTTTGTTTCTGTGGAATTCTGAGCTGCACTTAATGCTGCTTGCTTCTTAGGATAATGGAATGATATGTCATATGCAACTCTTAGCTCTGCATATTCCACAAATCACTGCTGCAGAATATGTGACCCTGCTTATTTGCACTTCTTAAAAAGAGTAATGATTTGATATCAAAAATAGATTTTGCATTCTGAGCTGACTCAGTACATTGCCACAAATAGCCACTGCTGCAGAAATATGTGACCTGCTTAATTTTTGCACTTCTTAAAAAGGGGTAATGGATTATGTTAATAATAATTTTGCATCCTACATACATTGTTTTATTATTGGAATGGTATTATATGATGAATTTTAGGTTGATCTTTGGATTATGGTAACTTGGCGATTTTTTGGCGAAAATTTGGCAACCAACTCTGCTACAGCAACCCTCTATTTTTTTTTTTTTTTTTTTTTTTTCGCCGCCATTTTGTCTTCACGAAGTAAAGACATGTTTCTTTTCTTTTTATTTACTGAACACTTTTTCCAACAATCTACTAGACGAATTACACATGCTAGAATTTTATGTAACAAACTGCTTAATCATGACAAATATTAACTGCAAAATTGGGAAAAAAGTGCACAATCGCAAACTCCTTGCGCGTTTTTCAGAATAGCACATACACATAAACCATTTACAACGTCGACTTATTTTTACTTAAAAAAACATCCCAGAATTGCACAAAATGGCATTGCACACAACTTTATCCATCTACACTGCTATTTCTCATAAATTACATAAAATTTGCACGAAAATGCAAAAAAATTTGTGAATCTTTAAACTCGGTAAAAAGCACATATATGAAATTACCTGATCGCGAAAAAGTATATACCCTTTCCAAGGATGAACATTTCCACGTATAAAATAAATAAAATATCCAAAAACTTTTACCTCTAAATTATCTATTATATTATAAACGTCACCAACAAATTCATACCGCAAACATTACAAATGGTTACAAATACTTAGTGTCAAATATTTAAATTATTTCCATGCATGTTTACTTCAACTGAAACGTATACCAAATTCCTACAAACATAAAATTCACAAAATAACTATCATTTAATTAAAATATCAGTAAACCATGTACACGTCGACTTATTTTTACTTAAAACAAAATCCCAGAATTGCACAAAAATGACATTGCGCACACTCTTCACTATATCCATGTACACTGCTTTTTTCTCATAAATTAGAAAAATTTCACGAAAATGCATGAAAATTTTGTGAATCTTTAAATTCGGTAAAAAGAACATATATGAAATTACCTGATCGCCAAAAAGTATATACCCTTTCCTAAGATGAACATTTCCACGTATAAAATAAATAAAATATCCAAAAACTTTCATCTCTAAATTATCTATTATATTATAAACGTCACCAACGAATTTATACCGCAAACTTTACAAATGGTTACAAATACTTAGTGTCAAATATTTAAATTATTTCCATGCACGTTTACTTCCACTGAAACGTATACCAAATTCCTACAACATATAATTCACAAAATAACTATCATTTAATTAAAATATAATTAAATTCAAAAACACTACTTAAAATATAAATAAGCACGTACAATGAATTAATAAAAATTAGCTTACAATCCTAATTAATTTAAACTAAATCATTGCTAATAACAATTTTCCAATAATACCATATAATTTTATTTACTTCTTACATTTAGAACAATGCATAAAAATAATATCCTCAAATAATTAAAAATACTAATCTTCTTCAGAATCTTGATTACGTGGCCGACAAACTTTTCTTTATTTCATCCACTAAATAAAAAGCAAGCGTATGTGCGCCTGTTTCAGCATCTTTAAAATCATACTTATAGTTCACAGCAAGGTACCAGGTAAAATAAATAACTTAATAAAGCATCTTTACTTCTATCTCGCACAACCTTAAAAAAACACTTATTACTACCCCTTTCAATCTCATTAAATACCCATTTTGAATTCACTTTAGTTAGGGCCATGGGATCCAAAAATTAACCAACATTGTTTCACGCAACACAGAATAAAGCTAAATACAAAATTGCCAGATTTTTTTCCAGATTTCCCCCCTTTTCCGATTAAAGAACTGTAATGCGTCCATTAATGTCACATGACATATCTCATGATCTCTCATTTCCCTCACACAAAATAATGCGTAATCGGAACTCGGTACTTCTCACATTATTACAAAAGTCCTAGGTAGTAACCTTTATCGCCTCCAAAATGTCGCCAAACTACCAGTTACCATATTCCAAAGATCAGCCGAATTTTATTAAGTTAAATAAGTGTGTTAAGTTATTCATTTCCCACATGCTGATTGGTTCTCAGTCCCCCCCTGATAAATTGTCAGTTTTTTTCATTAATGGTCCTTAAAAGCAAATAATTTTTACATACAAAAAAGTGTGAGAGTCTTGCTATACATGAAATTATATATAGTTTGTAAGATTTTGTTGTGGAAATCATTACATTGATTAGTGCAGGTAAATTATAAAAATAAAAGGACAAAATTAATATAAAAGAGATAAATTGCATTCATAGTTGTGAAGTGATTTATTTGCTTTTCATGCCTGTGTAGCTATAGTAGACACTATTTAATATAATCATTGGATATTATTATTATTGAAATTTCTGCCAATTTGTATACAAAAACATGGAAAATGCATCTTGTATTATTATCAGTTTCTAAATATGATCAAACTGTTGTATAATAATTTTGGAACTACTCTGATATGCGCCCTCAAGTCGCCAAATTTCTCGCCAAATATTTTTGGCGAGAAACTTCACGCTGCCATATTACTATCTAAATTTTTTGTCTACATTTTGAACTTTTAGCCTAAAATGTCTCCAAAAACCAAGGAGGTTAGAATAGAAGGAGGGAGGGTTCGCAATTTCCTCCACTATCGGGGAATGAAACTTCACCGGAATGAAACTTCACCGAAGCGGCGTCCATGTTTGTAACTTCAAAATATTGCATTACGGCAGTGAAACATACGTGTTTTTAAGCTGTTCCGTGCATGTATTTTCCACTAAAAATATGTAAAATTTATAATGAGATCGCTATTGTTAGTTTTTTGTTTTAAAGTTATGAAGATGATATCAGTAATTTACTACGTACAGAACATCATTAAGAAATAGTTCGAAATCTAAATGCATATGCATAACATTAAAGCCTTTAAAAATAATGTTTCTGCATATTTCAAGAATTTGTTTAGGTTTTATTAGCAGCCTGTTGGATGTACTTTCCAACTTTTCCTTTAAGAAGTGGTATTTCTGATTTATTCACAATATTGTAATTTATTAAAGAATCATTTAAAATAATTTTAACCTAAAATTAATAGCAGATAAATATCTAAAAAAATAGTCACAAGTTGCATTTTTTACAAATGAAATAGATTCTTTTCACAACCAACAACCTTCTAACAACAAGAAAATAAATATTAATAAAATAGATTTATGTGAATTCAGTGATTTCAGTTTATGCACGTTTCATATTTATGAATCTCAAAGAAATTGCCTTGAATTAAGCTGAATTACAGAAATATACCTATATTTTTGGATACATCTTTCCACATGTTCAGTTGAGTAAATATTTTACTTACTTTTATCGCTATACTGGTCACAAATTGTATATTTATGCAAAAAAAAAAAAAATTTTTTTAACAACAGAAAAGTTAGTTTATCTTGATCAAATGCACAAATTATATTCCTAACAGTTCACAAAACTTAAAAATGAATAATAATTAATACATAAAGAAAAGCGTTACTTTGTTTAAAACCTTTACAATTCATAAAAATAGTAACAATTGGTGTCTTACTTTTTATGAAAATTATCAAACGAATTACCTAAAACGTTCAAATTATGTAGTTTAAATTCTAGCATACATCATTGTATGGTAAGGAACAAAGGTGCCAGCTATAAACAGAAACATTAAAATGTATTTAACATATTTTGATTATTATTAAGTCCTTTTTTTCACATCTGGAAAGAAAACAACATGACATTGTGATATTTTTTACCTAACTTGTCAAATTACATAAAAAAAAAAAAAAAAAAAAAAAAAAAAAAAATCAATACTTACGCGGAAAAGTAATCCCTTTTTCGAAAATCTGTTTGTGCATTCATGTACAACACAAGCTGACATGCTTAAAAAAGAAAAGAAGAAAAAATATTGTAATTACGGACTTCCTTGCACAAGTCACAGCGATAACAGTAACATGGCTGCCAAGCTTCACCGTTTGAGTTGAACCTTCCCTCCTTCTATTCTAATCTCCTTGCCAAAAACGCGGTTTTCGCACATGCAAAAACTACGTTTTGAACACACAATTTAGCTAAAAATCCGAAACAAAAACAAAAAATTTAGATAGCAAAAACGTAAGGTTTCTAACCAAAAATATTTGACAAGAATCCATGTACACAGCGACATGTTTTAACTTAAAAAAAAATCTACGAATTGCACAATGTAGGCAACAAACGAATCTACAAACTACGCACACCTCGCTTTAATAAATTAACATAACAACAATAAATTTCAAAGAATACCATGTACACAGCGTTCTGTTTAAACTTAAAAAAAATTCTACGAATTGCACAAATTTAGGCAAGGAAGGAATCTACGATCTACGCACTCCTCGCTTTAATGAAATAACATAACAACAACAAATTTCAAATAATACCATGTGCACAGGGTTCAGTTTCAACTTTAAAAAACATCTACGAATTGTACAGTCTAGACACTAAACAACAAAATAAACTAAAATAAATTTCAAACAATTTAAAAAAACAACAATAACGACAAATTCATACTAAAGAACCAATGAACATAACATTCTACAAAATAAGAACAAGGATAAAATAAAAATGCACTTACCATGAATTAATGCGTTTTCGAATAGCAGAAATATAAATTTCATACCGCCTTTAACATGCCGCCACGTAATCACTATCGTATTTACACGACAGCCAAACACACTATCCAGAAAATTTATACTATGGTTCACAAATAAATAAAATCACAAATCCCTACTTCTATCATGCACTGCCATTAAAAATAATCTCCCAGACCCTCTTTCCACACTTCCAAATACCCACTACCCCTCAACAGGATAGCCACAATCATATTTCCTTTTGCCGAACTTCAATTCAACAACTACCATTTTATCTTTCCCTCCGATCTTCTCAGACACAGAGGCGAACCAACGAGCTCCAGCGAAAGATTTTTCAACGTGAACAGGTTGCCATAGAACACGCAATCGCGCCAAATACCAGCGCAGAACACATATCGCCACATTTGGTGAAATTAGGGCGTATATTAGAGCTGTACCATATATTTTTTTTTTTTTTAACTGGAAGTAAAGCTACCAGATAAGGTCATAATAGATTGTGGAAACTGCCGAGTAACAGAAATATCGCCAAGAAAGATTGAGTTATCAAACAGCTTGGTGTTGATTTTAATCAACTATTTAAAATTCAGCAAAAAGTAGCCTTAGTTTGACGTAGATTTGAATGACTGTCGATTTTGATAGTGATCAGATACAGATCCTTCTTCAGGGGCATCCTGAGGAGGGTGGAAAGGTTTTAGGAAACATCTATTCCAAACTAAGGTTGCTTTTTTTGCTTAATTTTACATTGGCATGTTCTCTTTCAGTAAGGGATGCCTTCCAAGTATTATTATTAGCAATACAGCATAGGTCAATTTCCAGAAATGTTATAAAAAGTTGGTAAATGAACTTTTGCATTTAAGAATTATAAACAGTGCACAAACAAATTTGACCTTTTTATAATTAAAAAGCTGTAAAAGGACTATTTATAGATTATTCTGCTTATATTTATATTAAATTAGTTAAATCTGTTTTACTGTTTTTTCCCCCCTCATAGTTAACATTGTCAAAATAGCTGTGGGAAATGTAATCACATTAAATGGCACATACTGTATGTAAATGTGAAATAGATGTTGGCACATTATTAGCAATGACTTAGTTGAAGTGGTTAGTTTATGTGAAAAAAACAATAGAAAAAATTAGATTTGAATAATTTACCACGTAATAAAAAAAGTTTTTTTTGATGTGATCCACATGCCTCTTAACAGGTGCATATCCGAATTTAAGTTCTTTCAGGTGTTTCCACTCTAATTTAACTAGTTTTGATGTTATGTTTGCTGAAATAAAGCTAACGTATAATTCTTTTTTTTTTTTTTTTTTTTTTTTTCAGATGGTGATCTGATATCAATTTTTGATAGTTCTGATTTATCATTTGCTATTCAGTGTAGCAGAATATTAAAATTAACAATATTTGGTAAGTTTTTATTCTTTAGAAGAATAATTACATTGTATCTTTTAATTTGTGTAGTTAATCATGAAATTAAGATATATTGTGTAATATTTCAGAATTTTTTAGCAAATTACATTAATCAACATTACCAAGAAAAATTCTATTAATTTATGTTTTAAATTCTACTTTTCATGTTGTAGCATATTATGTTTCTTCAAAAAAAAAAAAAAAAAAAAAAAAAAATAACAAAGATACCTTTATTAATTTCCAGTCTTTTTTTAAATCTAAAATCCTTTATATAAAGTATTAAACATATTATTGAATATATGTTGCTGAGCCAAAACATCAGAACCATCTCCACATTTTTTATTGAACTAATCTGGATGATATGGAGTGCACGTGATTAAGTGGGGATGGTATTTAACTGCTGCTGGAGGAGGTAAGGAATTGTTCTTGCACTTCCTTTTACGAGTGATGGGAAAGGCTGCTGATGTAAGCAAATTTGATAGAGGGCAGATTGTAATGGTCCGAAGACTCAGAATGGGTATCTCCGAAACTGCACAACTAATAGGTTGTTTACAATCTGCCATTGCTAGTATTTATGCAGAGTGGATAAATGACAGTGAAACCAACAGTAGACGCCAAGGTATGTGAGGTCCATGCGTCATGGGGGGGGGGAAAGGATGTCGAAGACTGGTAAAGCAAAATTGCTTGGACTGCTTGGTACAGCAAAATTGGTGCCAAACAGCCGACAGCCCGATATGGTGCTGGTCCAAGTGCAAGTATTCCAGAACGTACAGTTTAATGGACACTGTTTGATATGGGATTGCGCAGCAAACGTTCTACTCGTATGCCTCTGTTGACCAAGCCTCATTGTCAACTATGGCTACAGTGAGTCCCGGAACATCGAGATTGGACCGTGGATAAGTGGAAGACAGATTGGATGAATCAGGATTTCTCATTCATCACATGAATGATTGTGTCAAGGCACTATGTCTTCCAGGTGAACAGCTGCTTCCCTCCCTTGTATAGAAGTCATACACAAGCTGGTGGTGGTTGTATTATCCTTTGAGGGCATTCTCATGGGTGACTCTGAGGCCTGTATTTATGTTAGAACAGTCCATGAAAGATCATTTACACCAGTAGATGCATGTGTCTTCCTAACTGGAAATGGAATCTTCCAGCAGGAGAATGCCCCACTTCACAAGTTTCAAATTGCTTTGTATTGGTTCGAGAAACTAAGGATGAATTTCAGTTAATGCCCTGGCCACCTAGTTCACTGAATCTTAACCCGATAGAGCACATTTGGGATGTCATGGAATGGCAGCTCAGAGCTCAAACACCACCATGTCGAAATATCTCGACTTTGTGCGACTGCTGCTTAGACATCTGTTGTAGCGGTTACAGCTGAAAACATCGCGGCAAAAACATCGCAGACGAAAATGTTGCGGAGAAAACAACGCAAGGTGCGAAAACGTCGTGCTACAAAACATCGCAAAGAGAAAACATCGCAGTTCTAAAACATCGTGGTACAAAACATCGTCGTCGAAAATAAAGCGGTTCAAAAACATCGCAGTTTAAAAACATCATCGTCGAAAATATCGTGGTAAAAAATAAAGTATCCACAAATCATCGCATGACGATAACATCGCAGACATGCTTTTTTCAGGCATGCTTTAATAAGTGTAAATGGATATTCCCATAATGATTTGTGAGCGCAAGATGGAAAGAAGGATAATTTTTACTTTCGTATTTTTTATTAATTAATAAATTTTGCTGAGAGAAAATAAAAAGGAAACTTAAGCATAAAAAATTAATGCAACTTATAGCACTTAATAGAATTTTAAACCGACATAGTTAACTAACAAAGGCCATTAATAAATCATTTTTATAAAGTTTTTACTGGTAATATTTCATGAAAAGTATAATCTATAAGTTACATTTAATTTTCTATGCTTAAGTTTCCTTCTTACGTTTTCAGCAAAAATTTATTAGTTAATAAAATATGTGAAAGTAAAATTTATCCTTCTTTACACCTTGCGCTCACAAATCGTTATGGGAATATCCATTTACAATTATTAAAACCTGAAAAAAGCATGTCTGCGATGTTATCGTCATGCGATGATTTGTAGATACTTTATTTTTTACCACGATATTTTTGACGACGATGTTTTTAAACTGCGATGTTTTTGAACCACTTTATTTTCGACGATGATGTTTTGTACCACGATGTTTTAGAACTGTGCTGTTTTCTCTTTGCGATGTTTTCTCCCACAATGTTTTGTAGCACGACGTTTTCACCTTGCGTTGTTTTCTCCGCGACGTTTTCGTCCACGATGTTTTTGCCGCGATGTTATCGGCGGACACCGTTGTAGCCTGTCTCCAGTCATCTACTAAGAACTTAAGAAATCCATGCTAAGGCGAATTGCAGCAGTTTTGCAGGCCAAATGTCATGCAGCACATTATTGAGTAGGTGATCATAATGTTTTGGCTTTTCAGTGTAATTCTTATGCAGTTAGACTCCATACATTGACATCTTTATTGTCAAAGTTATTTGGGGGGATGTTCCTATAAATCTTTATATTAAGCATATAATCATATAAAAATATTTAGTCATGTCTGTTAGCTAATAAATTTCAATAATTTTAACTGTATTTATCATCTAGAAGTAGCTCTAATTGTATTTATCATCTCTACTAGGCCTGTGTTCAGAAATGTTCCGTATCATTTAACTGAAAACTTTGCAGAATATGTTGTATTCTTTAAAACATAGCCAGCACAAGTAACATTGCTCGACAGTTGTGATCATCATATTAACAGTGAGCTTCAGTCACGTCGATAATGAGCTTCATTCAACAAATGCAATTCTGTGTTCATATATGTTGATGCTTTTCTTATTTTTTAAAAGTTAGTTAATACAACTGATGTTAAATCTTCAATAATTCTTATAATAATCATTAGTTAATCATTGGTTCCTTTTGAACCGATATCAGAATCTGATTCTTCTAAGATATTGGTAATTGCATTTGAAGCATTATCTGTGTCTATTTCATATTTATTCTCAGTCAGCAGTCTTTATCTGCGTTATCATATCAACTTCTAAGTGAGACTTGATAAGAGTAATTGATAATAGCTTTGCACAAAAATAATGGAATTGTGTCAAAATGTTAATCTACAGCTTTATTTCCATGTTTTTTTGTACACATAAGTTTTTATTTCATTGCTGCTTTATATTGCAATCTTCTGACAGTGATTTGATGGGGAAAAAAAATTGAAATGGTTGAAATACTGTAATTTAACTCTTCATATGCTTAAAGACACAAGGAAAATTTAATTGTCTAACTGTATTAAAATACCAATGGCTTCATACTTGGAAGTATAGGAAAATGCACTTCATTTTATTCTGTAGTTAGATTAGAAAATACCTCAACGAGAAAACTAAAGCTGGTACCCACATAAAAAGGAACCTTGAAAAATATGGGGCATTTTAAAACATCTGTACATGGTGAGGAAATATCTCATTTTTAAAGATTTTTATTAAGGGTAAAAGTATGTTTTGAAAATCAAAGACTTTAATTATTTTTGACAACTTTGCTGTTGCTGAACTGTTCAAAAAATTTCATGCAATTTTTGCATATTTTATGGTTAGGAATTTTTTGAAATTTTTATTTGACATTCTTGTATTTTTTATGTATTCATTTCTGGCTTTTATTTATTTATTTAAAATACTGTATGTAAATATTTTTGGTCAGAGAGTTGAAACACATTTACCCAATATCTGGTAGTGTATTTTATTTTAATGATTTGTGTGGATTATAACTGAAGTAAAGGTATGTAAAAAATTACTAAAACTTATTTCATAATTTGATAGTAAATGGCCATCCTGCTCCTCTGCAAGCTGATGAAGTGAAGCATATTCGAACTGAATTGGCAAAAATTAGAAATCAAGTAAATCAATTAATTGACCAACTTGAACCTAGACAAGAAATGCCTGGAGCAAGATCAGAAAATGAGAAAGGTATATGTAATTAAGGGTTTGGCCATGCTTTTTTTTAATCTATCATGTTTTTTAAGTGCATTGCTTCAGTACAAAGAAACTGAAATAATTAAAATTATTGCCTTGGAATTTTTCATTTAGTTAAAGTAATTAGGAATTTTCTTTTATTTAGATATAACATTTAAAAATATTCTCTGAAATCATTTCTTGAAACGTTCTGGAAAATTTTTTCCTTTTAAAAGTATAATATTCATTTTAAGAAAACACGAATATAAAAAGTTCTTAAAACTAAGTTTTTAGAAAATTGCTTGTATATTTTACTTCTTTAGCAGCTAGAAAGGGTATTGCAATCTTATCTTTTTAAAAAAGTAAACAAATAAATAAATCTATGTTTCGAAGGGCAAATCTTGATATTTCACAAAGTACATGCTCCTTATCACCAAATTTAAAAAATATATATATATTAATGTGCATAGGTTAATAATTAAATTTTTGAATTTGACAGTGCTATTTTTCATGTCTACTTAATACACGATAAAAGATTAAAATTCATCAGTTTTAAAGATTGAAAGGGAAATCTGTAAAATTTTTTAATTAGTTAAGACTGCTAAGCAATTTATATTGTAGTCACAATTCAGTTTTTCCTGGTTTTATGTAGACTGTGTTATAGGATACTTCTAGGTATATTCAATTTGTCAAGTTTCTTATTCAGTTATTGATGTATCATAGTACTGGAAAAGGTTGCTGTACTTAGTTGATTGTTATTTCATTATGCACGTATCTGATCCCACATTTTTTGATATTTCCTTGAGTTTTTGCATTTCTTCTTGGATGTATTTTAATTTCATAATACATGTCCCTAATTTCAGATTTTTCAATGCACATTCAGTTCTTTTAGGGGGGGAATGTCATTTTAGTATTATACACTAGTTGATCATGCTTTTTGGTAGAAAAAAACACAGAAATTGCTGTTTCTTTTCTATGGTATTCATGCAGATTTATTTCAATTTGAACAATAAGAAATATTCATAGACAGCTCTGCTAATGTTTACTTCTCTTATTTAAATTTAGCCTGCTTTGTCAAATAGATCTTAAATAATGTTAAAATTCATTAGTTTGTTATTGAAGATTTTGGACCATTGTATGATGCTTGCATCTTGACAGCTGCTTTAACTGATGTTCCCCCCCCTCCCCATGTGTCAAGATTTTAACTGAAGTTTTGACTAAGAATAAGATTCTATTATTAGTAGTTCCAGAGTTGCCAACTCTCCTGATTTTCGACCGCTCTCCCGCCAGCTTGATTTACAATATATTTCTGCCAACTTTTTCTTATTCTTAAAATTTCTCACGATTTTTATGGAACTTGGCTTAATACTTCGTTATATGAACAAAAAAAAAAAAAAAAAAAAAGTGATTTTGGACATCTGAAAGCAATTGAATTTTCTCTAGATTATATCTAAAACAAAACCTTGCGAATCAGATGAGAATTTCTGCTTTGTGAGTGAGAGCATACGTATCCAGAAACGTCTTTCTCCAGTTCTCCAATGGGCATCAAGCTCCATTGCTGGTTATCTGGCATATATTAGCCAATGAGCACAAAGCAAGTTCAAGACTGCTATTTGGATGTTCTTTCGTTCATCTTGTCCTGAGTTGTGCGAGTACACGGGCCTTCGGAAATAGTTTTAGAAATTATCGTCTTTTGTTATGTCTGCAAGAAAGGTGAAATACTCGTGGACGTTTCAAAAATCGTACACTGTTGACTTTTCTTTCATTATTTCCTCAAGGAAATGTAATAAATTTGCGATGTGTACCGTCTGTCGTTGCGATTTTTCGATTTCGCTTGGTGGAAGGGCGGATGTTCTCAAACATGTGCATACACAAAAACACAAGGACAACGTGAGTTGTTTTGAAAAAATGAAAAATTAAATTTTTCTTTGGAAACAAAGTACCAAAAAGTGATTAATGCAGAATGTCAGTTCTCTGCCTTTTTACTGGAGCACAACCTGCCACTGAATGCATCAAATCACGCTGCAGCTTTATTTAGAAAAATGTTTCCTGATAGTGAAATCACTAAGAAATACTCAAGTGCAATGACCAAAAAGGTGCAATTGTTAAAGAAATAGGTTTGAAAAATAAATCTTCATTTATTGATTGCTTTAAAACAGCTCCGTTCTGCCTCTCTACGGATGGAAGTAATAATACCGATTCAAAACTGTATCCAATTGTTGTTTCTTTTTTTAATCCAGAGTCTTCAGAAATTGAGTGCAGTTTACTTTCTGTCCCCACTTTAGAAGGACATTCAACAGGCTTTAATAAAGCACAGCTAATTATTAAAACTTTAAAAGAAAATGCAGTCCCTCTGGATAATTGCTTAGCACTTGGTGCCGATAGTGCACCAGTAATGATATTTATTATTATCTTGAAAGGAGTTCTGAAAGGAAGGAAAAATTTTGAAACGTGTGTACATGCTGGCTGTCTTTAAAGAAATGCTTATCTAGAATCCTTAATCAATGGAACCCACCTTCTGCATATGCATTTTTTAAAGAAGTAAACTCAGCTTCGAGAGTTACTATTAGATAAAGGCTCTATTGATAAAGTTATAAAATACCTAAAGAAATGGAGATGTAGTTACTACTTACATTGTTAAAAATAGATTTGAGAAAAATAAAGTAATTTCTGCTCCATTCAGCAATTCAACTGGCAGTTCTCAAAATAATACTGCAAAAATATAAGCGTAAAGCTGATACAAATTTCTCTCAAAATTAAAAAATTGCTCAACACAAGAAACATTTTCCAATTACTGTAAGTTTATCTTGTGAAGAATGAATATGTATGTGTTTTCCTTCAGACCTTAACAAAGCTTTTTGCTTTTTTTTTTACAATTCATTTTGCCATCATTCAATGTTCTTAACGCAGTTTTACAAAGCATTAATTCATGTTTTGAAATCAATAATTTATGATCTGTTTAAAGACATTTTATCAAGGTTTGTAAAACCAGTCTGTGTTTTGTCTTATAATTCTATATATGATGTGATTTGTGGTGAAATAGAAAATCAGAAGAAAGATGAAGATTTGGTAATAGGAGCTGCAACTACAAAAGTAGTGAGTAATTTTGCATGCTAAAGTCGCTGATGTTTCTGCTCTAGAAAATGCATCTTTTCTGATATAAGGTACTTTTTGAACAGATTTCCTGTGTTACTTCATTTAGTCATGAAAGATGATATTGATGTTGCAACTGCAGTCGCAATTGTGCAGTTAGAAAACTTAAATGAAGTTATAAAATCAGCTAGGATTGACACCCAGTGGAGTTTAATTGGAAAACTGAAAGTTGCTGATGGAATTTTAAAATATAGTGAACTTTCTAGAATTATGTTGGCCATCTTGACAGTTCCCCATTGTAATGCAGAGTGCGAGAGGATTTTCAGTGTTGTTGCTAAAACGAGGACTAAATTTAGATCTAATATTAGTGATGACACATTACCAAAAACTTTGATTAGCAAAAGCAGGTCTATGTGGCAATTGCTATGAACAAAATTATGAAGTTTCTTTCTTAACTAAAGCAAAATTTGCCAGTGTTCATAACATTTAAAAACTGATTAAAGTTTTTTTTTTTTTTTTTTCCTTAAACGATGCAAGTAATAAAAATGTTTTCATGTTTAAGGTATTTTTGTGTTGCTTGCATTTAAGAATTAGTAACTATTTAAAGTTAATTCATTATTAAAAACTATATTTTTATCATTTAAAATGTCTTTTTAACATTGTGATAAATCTCCCGATTTTTGAGTGTCATAGGTTGGCAAGTATATAGTTCTGACCTCCACTTCCTAATCATCTGTAACTTTTATTGTATTAGAAATTAAGATGTAAACCATAATGGCATTTTGTTCAGGCAACAAAAGCTCTATGTCTCAAAAGTATTTAAGTTGACCACTGTAAAACATGTTTCCAATAGCTGAAGAAATCATAAGATGCCATATTTCAACTGTTGTTTGAGTATTTTGAAGAGAATTAAATTACACACATGTGAAGAGTATTTTAAAAATGTATACAGACCCTTTCCAAACAGGGGGTATTATTAACTTATTGTGCATACAGCAAAACTGTATTAAAGGATTTCTGTTAATGCTTAATAAGTAGGTACATGAGACAATTATTATTTTAATAATTGGTGATTTTTTTTTTGGACAAAGTTCATTAAATACTTTACAGTAAGAAGTGCAAAGTTTTTCATTACCTCTCATAAAGTGTCCTCTTTTTACTTCCTTGTACGAAGTAAAAAGGAAGTATTGTAATCGCGAAAAGTTTCAGGCAGCATATTTCAGCGAATATAGCCATTTTGACCGCTTTCGAATGTAATTTAATGACATTTTCGTGTGATATCTGTACGTAAGGACAGAATAAAAGACTCTTTTCCTCCAAGAAAGTTATAAAACTGCTTTTAAATGAATTCTGAAGATAATTTTTCGTGGCGTCTGTACAAACATATGTATGTACGTATCTCTCATAACTCAAAAACGAGTAGCCTCAGAACATTGAAATTTTGTATATAGTACTACTATAACATTTAGATGTGCACCTCATATTTTAATTGCAATTGGTCCCGCCAAACATATATAAATATATTTATATATATATCCACTCTGTTACCCGGTTCAGTGATCTCAGTTTCTTTACCCTTATATGTTTGTAATTTGTACATTTTTTGCTTTAAAAATGATTGAATTATGATGTTCTTATCTTCCGGTTAAGGTTTTTATGCCTTTAGTAAATCTGTATGTAATATTTTCAGAATTATCAACAATTTTAAAATTGTTTAAGAGCCGCTAAGCCTAATAATTTGTTTGATGGCGGCCATTGGTTGTTTACATTTTTCAAGTTTTATTTGTAAATATCCCTTATTAAATATTAGCTAATTACTTGGAATATTATTTACTCAAAATATTTTGATATTTATTTTGTAATAAGTAAGGCTTAAAATAGAAAAAAATGCCTTTAGTAAATCTGTATGCAATATTTTTAGAATTATCAGCAATTTTAAAGTTGTTTAAGTGCCGCTAAGCCTTTTTTATGGCGGCCATTGATTGTTTACATTTGAAACAGCAGACTAGTGGATTTGTTGCCAATTTAGAGAAACGCAGTTTTGCAACAACAAAGATAATGCCTTCACTTATTATTGCGAATTAAACCATGCTTAATCCCTTCTGGAATTTTTTCGAGGAAATAAGTGTTTAAGATTAACTTAATTTTTAATAATTAGTAATTTTTAATACAGGTATTTTGAGTTTTTATGTATTTTTGCCTTGTCGTGAAGTGAGAACTGAATTAATTGAATGAGAAATACTCAATCGTCTGTGAAAAACTGTTTCTTTTTTGTTTTGTTTGCGTAATTTCTTTTATGCATCCTTCTAACTTTATTATAGTATTTGAATAGAACATGTGGCAACGATTAGGTAATTCTTTAAATGATATAAATTTATTGCATTCTGAGTTATAATATGAATGAAATATAATACTGTTAAGTGAACCTAGTGCCAGAGTGTCGGTATGGTAAACAAATACAGTGACTTTTTAAGAATGCATTTATTCTATTGTGATTTATGCGCTGTCACCGAAGTAGATTTAATTCAATCCAATAAGTTTAAACAAAATGCAAGAAAAAATGCGTATGATTTAATATTCTGTACAAGGAAGTCGTGGTGTACATAACAGATTTTTTTTCATTTGGGTCAATTTCCACTACAAAATCAAATGCTTCCCATACCTTTTTTAATAATTCATTTAACTTCTCATAACTCTAAAGGTTCTTTATCCTTTTTCACTATCGTTGCTTTCACCATTGTCTGGTGCTACAAGATCATCCACTTCTTCATTTGTCATTTCACAGTCATCTCTCAACTAATTTTTAAATTCTCCCTTCTTCTGTATTTGAAAATTTTTCACTGCCTATTGCTTTTACAATTTTTTCATTCTCCTTTGTCTCATTTTCAAGTCAATGAGAATCTTTTAAAATTGCTGACAATTTTTATCCAGCGCTGATGCCAGTAAGCAAACAACACGCTTCCAAAGTGCCATTAGTGTGTCATGCTTTTTTTGTCTAGTGCTTTATTTGAAGAGTTGTAAGCATGCCTTGCATAACAGGCTTTGAATATTTTTGATTCCTTCATCCATTGGTTAGATTAAAGAAGGCTTGTTCGATGAAAGGATTAAAACTTCTAAATTTGGTTGTAATGTTGTGAGGACTTCATACCATATCTTGGAGAATTTAAGCAGAAATTTAAAGCTCGGGTTTTGCTGTTCTAAGTAATGTCGGATTTCTGCATTGAGTGAATTTTCAAATCACTCATTAAAGAGGACTATCGCAGTGTGGCTGAAAGGTGGCCAATGAGAGCAGCCACTTCTACACCAGCAACGTGGCTAGCATCAATTCGATGTCATTTATCACCTTCCAGGCATCCTGTGGTATCACAGGATGTTCAGTTTTACGCAGGATGTTCAGTTTTCTTACTGAGATGGGTTTGCAAAACTTTTTTTTTCTTTTTATTATTAATGTTTTACTGTTCTTAGCACTCCTGATATATAAAATTTGATTCAACAGCAAAATCAAAAAATATTTAAAAACATATCTTTAAAATTTTTTATAGACAGTCTCGCGCACTGGAGATAAAAATGCCCCTCCCCGGTACAATGTTACCACAGCTTGCTTTGTAATCATTGAGTTGCTTAATTAAAAATTCATTAAAGTTTTACGAAATATGAAATAGAAACAAATTCAAAATTCAAGCTTCCAGGTGCCTATGTTCAGGTGGAGGATTATGTTATTCAAAATTTGATGGCTCTAGGTATGGTTATTTCTTCGCAATTACAAAAACATGCATACATTCATGCAGATTCTTCATTATTTAATTTCTTTTAGTACAGGGTGATAATATTTGGAGGCGACAATTTGAAAAGTATACCCCGGTTTAACGCAAAATGCCATTTCGAGACTAATATCCGATTCGTGACTAACAATCCTTTCGGGCCAAAAATTAATCAAGAAAATGGAAAATTACTGAAAATGAAAATATACGTTTAAAACATATATACCAAAGCACAATAAGTGCGTTAATGAAACAAAAGCGAATTAAATTGTCTTCAGATGGCATTTCAGAGAGCATTGTAATTAGTTCATTATCTGTAAAATCATAGGTAGATACGAACCATTTTTCTTAAAAAGTCTCCACGGAGATTGAAGAAAATTTTTGAAAATGTATGGGAGCAATTAAAAATCATATTTCTAAATTTGAAAAACATTTTCCCTCTGTCAATAAGAATATAATTCCTTTATTTTGCTGCTTAACTTTTATAAGAGTGGTACTTGAATTGGAAAGCATCCCTTGTGTCAGCAAGAAAAGCTAACCAGAAAATAGGTAAATGGAGATAAATCACGTAAACTTATTCATTTTATAGTATTAAAAATAATATTTTAAATAATTTTTTGGTTTATTGTTCATGTAATGTGTTATGTGATTTATTTTATGCCCTTTTTAGGTATTTATAACTATGCAATATCATGAAATCTTTTTAGGTATTTATAATCATGAAATTCTGCATAGAGATAAATTGTCATTAGAATACATGCTTTTAAAATATAAGAATACACGAGTATACATAAGAAAGTATATAAACATCAATTTAAAATATTTTTATTATTTTATGAGCAATAGACACTGCATAGTGATCCTGATGACTCATAATAATGCTCTCATAATATTCATTGACAAGGCTTACAAAAATCTGATTAACTCATTTCCAGTGCTAGTTGAAATGCAAAATTTAATGAAACGAAATTTGTTTGGATTTAGTGTGTTATGAAATTTATTGTTAGCATTAATTAACTTTTAATCAGATGGGTTTGTAAGGATGTATTCTGAAAATATGTTTGCATAATTTTGATATTTCTGTAACACAATTTGTAACATTATGTGTGATATTTTAACTCCGAAAGAACTCTACGTAAATATAGAAATTTATCAATGTTTTTTGTCGATGGATTACTATTTACGTACATTTCAAAAAAATATTGTGGATAAAATTAACCTTGGTTAATATATATTCGACTTTTAATGCTTATGTTTTACTCATAATGTAGTTTGATTAAATGTACCATAGCTACATTACTAGGTCAGATATAAAAGCATATATATTGTAATTTGAGATAAAAATCTCTCGCTCATATTATTTACCAAACAATTCTTTAAGCCTTTTGATTTTCAAGCAAATGCTCACAAAACCGCAGGTGGAATAAGACACTTTCAAAGCAGCAAGTGAACCGAACTACGTCGTCAGTCTCTTCTTTCAGTTTCAATGCTGCTCCCGTTCATTCAGATGTCTACCACTGAGCGATGAATCCTGATTAAGTATCGGTGCTGATGACCAACGCACGCACATGTGGAGGTGGCTAGGCTTGCAGATTATCTCATGTAACTCAAATTCATGCATTAGACAAATTAAATGGAAACAGTTAAGATAACACCTATACCAAAATCATGTTCTACAAGTCTTCATTCTGCAAGGATTTACTGTATTTTAAATAACTAGAAATTTGAATCATTTCTTGTATGTATGTCTTGTGACTTCAAGTCTCTGAGAAAAATACTAGAAATATACTTTGCTTAATTGTTAATTTTATTTTATAGAAATTGTTCGAACTCAGTAATTTGAATTTAAATTTCTTGTGTGCAATGTAAATTTTTTAATGATACATTTTACTTATGCATAAAATTTTTGTAGGTGGATCTAATGCTCAAGTGAGTAATGCTCCTAATGCTGCTGCACCGAAAGAATTTGATCCCTTGTCATCCAAAGAAGGTGGTGAAGGGGGACGTGGCAAGGTAGCTACTTCATTTGGACTGCAAGAAGGTAAGGAATATCTAAAAGTAATAAATGATAATAAAAATGTAAGGAATAAAGTCATGAAAATGTTAGATTACAGACACTCTTTGTCGGAGTATAAAAATTATATAAGGGTTTGCTGGCAACTGTTATGTATAGCTGGGGTTGGCAAACGTTTTTCAGAAAGGGTCAGATTATGAAAAATTTCAGACTTGGCAAGCCAAGGGAAAAATTCAAACTTTTTTAAACTACTGTTCTTTTTATATTATGTTTAAACCAAGGTTGCCACACTACCTGGAAAACCGGAAAAAGTCAGGGAATTCGGAAATTGACCAAAAAATTCAGGGAAAAGTCAGGGAATTTTAAGTGTTTTAGACAAAATCTGGAAAAGTCAGGGAATTTCATACAACGATCCCGCCAAAAAAGGCGAGTTTTGCGCCGACGTCAGAAGAGATCACTTTTTTGGCGAATTGTGTATCATACGAGTGTCATTCGGGCAGCTGGCATAGAGCCAATTTTCGCAGCTCCAATTTGATTTTCTTTTAGAAAAGCAAAGCAAGTTTCCCGCAACTTTTGGTTTCCAGTAACCTCGAGAATCGCATGTGCAGTGCATGAACTAAAGAAAGTACCTGTTCTCATATAAAACAAAATGGATTTAATCCTAGTATACGGTACTATGAAGGTTAGAATCAAAGAATATGTATTGAAAAGAAGGAAAACCTCTCTGCAACAGAGGGGGCTCCGTTCCATCGTAGAGGGAAACAGCTGTGCATGCGTGATATATCTGTCATCGAAGTTCGAAGGTCACATTATCAAGAGTTCATAAAATGAATACCGTTTAAAAGTTCTTTAAACTCTAAAGGAAAATAAAGTATTTTTTGGCGCAAGTAAATTAATTCATGGATTAGTTATTTTGAAGGAGGGGGGAAAAAAAAAAAAAAAAAACTACGAAAATCCGTTTTTAAAATTATTGCGAAAAATCCAAGAAAAAACGTTCTTTGATAAAACGTTTCTTCTTGGATTTTTCACAATAATTTAAAAACGGATTTTCGTAGTTTTCTTTTTGTCAAAGAGCGTTTCTTCTTAACACGTGTTTCTCAATTTCCTGTCCACATCGCAGAGGGGAAAATTCTGGCCACCAGGTTCTGTCGCCAAATCCCTTTGAAAATTTTCCCTCCGCTTTCTAGCGGCGTAAAAGCATTTTTGTGTATGGAACCTTTTCTTCTTTACATAGACGTTCTTTGGTTAGAATAATCTCCATGTATGGTACAGCGGGATTTGACGACATGATGATGAGTAGTAAACGGGTCATTTTGTTCTTGGCGACAATTTTCAAAATCGTGCAAAAGCCGTACCGTATACTAGGATTTTACCGCAAAATGTTTTTAAACCTTTTTTTTTTTCTTTTCTTTTTAATAAATACCTTGTCATTTTGCAGTAAAATAAAAAAAAATAGTAATTAGTCATCTAGGCTAACCATGTAATATAACTATATTCGCTAAAATATCATTGATTATTCTAATTAAATTTTTAAGTAATTATCTTTATTTTTATGTTATTCATATAATTTAATTTTGCTTCTTCCCTCTAAATTTATTTATCATTAGTAAATAATATTTCCAAATGTCAGGAAATTTTCTCTGGCATAATCCTGAAATTAATTCTAGCAGTATGATGACATACCATCACGAAATTTAATGCACATACTTTTTCCTTATGTATGCTGTGAAATAAATATAAAATACCTCAGTTTATTAAAAAAATATCATTAAATACCTCAATTTATTAAAAAATATCATTAAATAGATTTCTTTCTTTCGTTTAGCTGCAGAATGTCTGCAAAAAAAGCCTTATTTTATTCCAGATTAGGCAGATTCTAATCTCAATCTTCAGTGGAGAAAACAACTCCTATTATAATTATATTTGTGTTTTCAAGTGTTAAGGTGCCTTTTAAGAAGACACCTCTCACAAATTAAATTTACCTAACTATTTAGCATTGCGTTTGATTTATAAAAACCGGATTAGCCTCGTGTTGAACTGGTGATGATCATGAGTAATAAATAAAACGTACAATTGTTATCCAATGTATATATCTTAAATTTTATTAAGTTTCTTAAGTGGAAAAGTAAACAAAGTGTACCAAGAATAATTAAGAATAAATGTCCTCTGGGATTTATTGAATAATTAAGTGAATTTGCTACACAATACAAGTAATAACAAGTAGTACCTCTTAGCAAAGCCAACGTACATTACGCGGATAGACTGAAATTTTCTCGAAACATACCTGGAAAACCTGGAAAAGTCAGAGAATTTCATTCTCCTGTTTGAGTGGCAACCCTGTTAAAACACTTTGCTGACATGTAGCAAAAAATTGAAGGGGGGATTAAATACATTCTGTCACAAAAAAGTATATGCCCCAGAAGAAATCAAGCCACAATCATGAAACTTGGCAGGAATGTAGTCTGGTAAGAGATGCACAAATGATTTAAATTTCAGTGCCCATGTGAGATGCACAGCTGGGAGAGTTTAAAAGCATGATTGCTCATGCCATAATGCTATTCAGAAGAATATGTTGACTTGGATGAACAGTATTTATGATGTCTCTGAGAAGTAACTGGCAGCAGTACAAACAATTGTTGGACTTTGAGAAGGAGTGTAAAGTAGGCAGTGGAGTAGTAAGCATAACTGGCACACCCCCTTCCCCCCAAAAAAAACACAGTGATATGATGAAAATCTTGTTTGGAGACCATTTGGCACTTCTCTGCTAGTGCCGCCTGGGGCATCATACACTCCCATGCTGCCACCTTGGTCAGAATGCTATGGTAGTTGCTTGCTGTTGGGGACAGTGGATCGTGGAAGGGATGGTCTACCATAACAGATGGTCAGGGCATCCCAAGAACACAAATTAGTGCAAGGATTGCACAATCATTAGAGCGGCCACTTCCACATAAAAAATGTGGCTACCATCAATTTGATGCCAGGTATTTGGTGGTATCAAGGAAAACCATTCAGAGATGGGGTGGCTGGTGCTGGTATGTGCTGCAGACGTCCATTAGGATGCCTGCTACTGACCCCACTGTGTCGATTGTATTTTTGCCGAACTTAGGCGAGCTGGAGCATGACCGACCAGAGACCTGTGATCTTCAGCGATTATCCCGATTCAGTCTCAGTGCTGATGACCGATGCACGGACACATGGAGGTGGGTAGGTCAGCCGTCTGATCTGGTATTTGCTGTCAAGTGACATACATTAATTATACAAGGTGTAACAGTTATGTGGACAACATTTTAATGCCGGTTGTACTGCCTAAAGTTGCTCAATTGCCATTTTTCAGCAAGGCAACACCCGTCCACGTACTGCATGACTCTCCCAACAATGTCTTCAAGGATTTGATGTGCTTCCATGCCTGCCAGGCCATCAGCAGGTTGCTTTTTGCCAATAGAGCATATTTGGGACATGCTGGGAAGGCAGACAGAGTCGTCCTGGAATATTGGTGACTTAACTGCCCAGTTTGCAAAGATTATGGCATGATCTTCCACGAGGTGTTATAGGTGACCTTCTTGATTTGATGCCATGCCGTGTTTCACCTTGTATAGCTGCCAGGGGTGGCTATACTACTTTCTAATTTGGTGACCTTTTTTCATGCCATAACTTCTTAATAAAATGATGCTTTGTTCTTAATTTGTAATCATTTATTTATCTCGTACTACATACATGTTATGTTTTGTGACAGTCATTTCCTTTTGGCTACTTTTTATTTTATTTTATTTATTTATTTGTATTTTTTTTGTGACAGAGTGTACATCTGTTTATTAATAAATGTAGTATAGAAAAAGTTAAATTGTGTACCATGAATGTTAATGTAATTTTTTTTTTTTTTCTAATACAATATTTCATCATACTGGAGTTTGAAATTAGTACTTTCTATAATTAATTTTGTTTGCAAATGGTCATCTGTTAATAATGATATGTACTGCAACTTTCATTTTGGAAAATATTTTTTTCATATTGTTAATCACTTCCAAATACAGATAAATACTTATATGTAATTTTAATTGACTGTATTTATCTTCCAAAATGGGTTTGTAGAACTGAATTAGATCCATTTCTTTACACAGCATTTTTTGCATATGCTATCTGGCCAAAATATGCAAACACCCCTCTAAAAAGTGGATCTGGCAGATGATGTAATTTGGTGCATAACCAAAAGCTATAAAAATGTTAGTAGTGGTTTGTCAGGTCATGCTTATGGATTTCTGAGATAGTGAATGAGTCAAAGGAGCTTAGTGACTTTGATCATGGCAGTATAGTAGGATGCCACCTTTGTCGGAAGTCAGTTCCTGAAATTTCGGACATTCTTCAGAAGCCAAAATCCACTGTGAGTGATGTGATTGCGAAGTGGAAACGTCAAGAGAGTGAAACTGGGTGGGGGGACGAAGTGGCAGGCCGAAAAAATTGGTGAATGCAGCGGGAGAACTCTGAAAAGGGTAATGAAACAAAATTGCAAATTCTCATAAGTTCAATTCACTGAGGAGTTCCAAAGTTCATCAGGCTTTAGTGCTACCAGCAGGACAGCCGAGAATTAAAAACTTGGGATTCCATAATCGTGTAACCTCTCACAAGTTGAATATCATTCCCCAAAGTTCAAAGTGTTGATTGCATTGTTGCAAAGCTAACTGCTGTTGAGACTGTGGACATGTGAAAAGTATTCTTTGCTGAACTTCGCTTTACAATCTGGTAGTCCAATGGACACGTCTGGGTTTGGCGGATGCCAGGTAAGCTGTTTTTAAGTGAATGCATTATGTCGTCTGTAAAGTTTGATGGTGGCAGCATGTTTGGCCTAAGTCCCTCAATTCCTGTGGTTGAAAACATGAACTCTGAGATGTATGTGGGCATTTTGGATAATGCTGCTCTCCCAACTGTATGACAATATTTCATGGAAGGCCCATTTCTCTTCCAGCAGGATAACTGTTCTAGTCACACAATGAGATTTGCGCAACCATGGTATGTTGAAATAGATGTTTAAA